TACGTCGAGACGGGAGGTGCGGCATACTCGCTTGTATGCTCACGTAGGCTATAGGTGCATCACAGCGAATATGATATTGAATTATCAGGCCAGCGGTGGTGGTAACCAGGGAACATTCCTTCTAGTAACGGGTCAATATTGTTATTTGTAAATATTGTACATAGTATTCAGGTGTCGGAGCATTTTTTCAAATAAATACTTAATATTTACAAACCGTTCACGTCTGTGATTTATTGCCCCGGCAAAGACGCCACAGTGGAATGACTCAGGTTAAATTCTTGAACGGAAATAGTGTTCCTCTTCCGGATAATGTATTGAGCACAAACGTGTCAAAATATAGCTTTGCACCCACAACAGCATGTGATGTGGAATTTTCTACGTACAAAATATTGTCTGATAGGAGACATTTCCTAACAGACAAACTGAATGAAATACTTGTGACTTTCTATGCTCCTAAAGCAAAATAAATGTGCCAAATTCGATACTAATCTATTTTTAACTTGCCGATTCCGTGTTTCTCTACGTGGCAAAAAGATGCGAAATACGTTTTAGTGACCAATAACTGCATATCTTAACAATTCATATGCGTATTCAAACATTTTTTGGCATATTTGCATGCATATTTCGGAGCTAAAAGCTTGCGTAAACTTCCCAGGTCTAGTTATTACGATAGAAAGACACATCATTGTTCAAGAAATAAGAAGAAATTGCACTGACTGCAAAATTAGATGTTTTGGAGGTATTGTTGAAAACATCATCAATGTTGTCATTACAGTTTTCCCGTTCTCCCTTCGATTTCGACCGAACGACCTTGACGGAACGATCAATCCATATCTTCGTCATCCTCAATTTTATTTCGCCGCCCGTAAAACTGTAAAATAGGGGTTATTTTGTTAATGAGAACAGTACATGAAGGTATAGATGTTATAGACAATAAAAAGGTACGTTGTGTTGGTAGATGAAAAAAACATTGTTACTGCGTTTTAGAAGTAGTAGTTTGTGTAGTCTATTGAAAGTGAAGATGAGGAAGGCCACCAATTACAACTGTTTGACCACCTTGATGTCAGTAATCCATAAAAAATATATTCCTTCATAAACGCAGCTATATTCATGTACGCCCACCACGGCCTCATTGCATTGCCGTATCGCTTCTGGCCTCAGGCGGAGTATATTAGGAACCATTTTCGCCTCTTAGCAACAGGTGAAAAATAATAATCGTGGTGCTTCTACCATCATATTATTTAAATTATATATTAATCTTTATATATTGGATTAATCTTTGCCAAACTTTGCGTGGCCACTACGACAATTCTGAAGTAGATCCTGTAAAAAATTCGTATCTATTCATACACTTCTTTTTGTGGTATCGATGTCGCTTACAGGTCGTTGAATTCACTTTTATCAGTCTAGATATAAGATTTTCTGTGAGCCTTTTGCCTTCAATTAAACAATAAAGTTCGGTTTTGCTCTGGTCAACATTGCATGCAATTCCTCAATTTTGCAGACACCCTGCCATTGCAGCTTTTGTGTCGGACAATGTCAGGTGAAATTTGTTCCAGACAGAACGGGTTTACCTGCTTCACATGGGCTAATCCAACCTCCTCTGAAGCGTCCTAAACCCTACCTCCGTCCTAATTCCTTCCCCATTCTGGCCGCTGGGTAGTGGCGCAGACGCGCGTGCAGGAAGAGGGCTGCAGTAAGATGCTCCCTGGCGGTCCTCTTGACAACTGACTGACGAAACACAATGAATGTTAATGGACGATTACTCAATGCTCGAGAAGGGGCTTAGAGAGGCGTTGAGTCGATTAATGAATTATTAATTCATTAAGATGCAACAATTTAAATAATGAACTAGTGGTTTTACAGAATGGCAAAGATTTTCTCGTGCTAGTTAGTTTTCTAATTCCTTTGGTTCAGCGAGGTTTTCGGTTTGCTCCACCCTCTTTCCAGCTATCACCGTCCAAACTTCATTTTTTTTTTTAATTTTCCGGTCTCATTATGGTAGAACTGAAACACGACTTTAAGAATATAATAGAAGAGTAAAACCTCTTCCTATACAGCAATTTTCGTTGAAAATTCTAGAGCCAGAAATGTTTCAGCTTTTCTGAAAATCAACATTTGAAGCCCATTTTCATCCAAAACTTTTGAGTTTTCGAGAAACCTTGTCTGAAAGCCATTTGAAGCACTTCTACTCAGAAATACAATAATGTATACAAATCACTGGAAATGTGCTTATGAATGGCGTGAGAAATATTTAACAAATTATATTTGGTCAATCTTTGAAAAAACAACAACAAAAGAATACAGCAAATGACTTTTATGTCATCTTATACAGTGCTTTTAGCGCTATCCGTTCAAAAAATTTGGAGCCGGTACTGTGAAAAAGGCGTTTGAGCGTGTCTGAGAATGCGGAATTTTGAGCTCTTTTTCACTGAAAACTATTGAGATTTCGAGAAACTTGTTAAGACGTCATTTGAAGCACAGAAAGAAAAAAAAGCGAGAATGTAAAAAAAAAAAAAAAATGGAGCGGTTTTGAGATCAAAAATTTAAATTGACATTACTTCAAACAAAAATTCCGCGAAAATTATTATAGCAAACTTTTGGTTTGAACTGTTCTTTAAAACAAAATATCGGCCTTTATTTATCGCGAAATTGACTGAATGGCGCCGATAGGCGTCACAGGAACCTTACATTACATAGTACTCACGGCTGACATAACATATGAGAGAAGAAATCGAATGTGCTACTCGGGAAATTCTGTGGCGAACCTCGTTTGCTCGTTTTGTTGCACCTCATAAATATTGTTTAAAGCAAGTACCATTAAAATGATATTAAAATCGATGAAATCAGCGAATATGCATTAAAAATTACGTAATTTTTTTAAGTGGCCTATTAGTCTAAGTAGACGAAAAATGTTAAAAAATGACTTATAAAAATGGGTCAATTCATCTTGTTATAACATAAAATAAATGTTTGTATACTAAACGACATTGTTCCGAAGTGAAAAGAAAAAATGACATTTCATTAAAATCCGCCCCAATTAATGACTATGTAATATTATAAAATGATAATTTCCGCCTCCCATTTCAACTACCATTTGAAAAATTCTTAAACAAATGAAGCGTAAAAATACATATTCTTTTAAAATCTCGCTACAGCGGTAGAGAGAAAGTTATGTAAAACTGGGGGCAGGAGAACGGCGGATTTTTGGCAGAAAAACTATTATTACAGGGCCAAGGCAACGAACACTTGAATAAATCCATATGCTAAATTTAGAAAAAAGTCCTCTAGCAAGTGATGTAGCCACAATCCATGTTTTGTGGGTCCTTCATACCGAAAATTCGATTGACGGCAAAAAACGTATTTCCGTCCCTCTGTGAACAACGATAGCGGCTGAACATGGACAGACGATTTTCTCCAATCGATCTGGTTGTCGCAGGCCCTTGAATTTGAAACCGATATTTTAATTTTGGGGGGTACTTTACATTAAGGCCCTGGGACATTGTCAAAATAAAAAAAATAATAATAAAAAAGGCTCCAACGATTTTTATTAAACTTTGTTTTTGTATAGTGTGAAGGACGTTTAAAAGTATGGCGCAGATATCATGTTGGTTAAAAACATTGATTTTTCGAAAATTGAAAAAAAATCAAATTTTTTCGGCGCCTTCCTACAACTACAATCATCAAGACAAACATTTTTCCACAATGAAATATGTTCATCAAAAACATCTTCGAATAAGATTATGTTGATTTTTTTGGAAATATGACTATTTTTTGGGGGGCGACAAATACATTTGCCTGCTCCGAATTTATTGCACTTCATAGGTGTAAAATAATAGGCGATTCCAAGTAGTTGATGCTACGTAAGTTAGTATTGTATATTATTTCACATTTGTCTATTCGTTTCTTACATTCGAGCTTTTGTTATACGCTTACAAATTACTAATCTTTTAGAATTTATTTAAAACCTAATTTAAATTGCAGCATTTAATTGAGTTAAATGTGAAAATGAATAGATTTCGCTTTGCTTGATACGTCGTGGGAATGAAGAATAATGCATGTAAAAACAGAGTAATTTTGATGACTATAAAAATTTTATATTTATTATAATATTTTTCTGTCCATTTTCATTATTCTTGCTAGCGGTATCAACAATGCTAATTGGCCAAATGTGTATCTCATACGAAATAAATGTCATTGTTGCTTGTTGAAACTCAATGTTGTAACGCCGCACTGATAACAGAATGCGATAATGACTGCTGCCTTATGTTCGTATTATTATTTAATATAAACTAATAATTTTATTTACGGCTAAAGTACGTATCGCGCATTGTTGGTACATTTATACAGAACGCGAATTCTCTGAATTCAATGGCAGATAGTTTTCGTTTAAGCATTTGAATTAACACTTTTTCGGTATGAAGGGCTCACTATTCCTTAAATCTGACTAAATAATATGTTAAGAGGGAGTAATTTACAACATATTAGAACAGGATTTATCCACTTAGTCTGTATTATGGCCCCACAATACGTTTTTTTGGATGAAAGATCGCCGGTATTTACGCAGCATTACATAACTTTCTCTATACAACGTATAATTATTCCGTATACACTAGCGTAAACGATATCTCCTTCACTTCACTAATATTTAATTAGTTTTGATGTTTCATCCTTGTGTAGATGTTTAGATTTGCCGCCCATGGAGAGAAACAGAACATCGATTGGCCGGTGTACAGGGGTGGCGCCCTATAAAAGTCCTCGACCCCCAGTGTCAATAGTTGCTGCTACTTCAGATACGCCCTTTGACTTATGACTACGATTTGACATAAAATGTCATGAATAAGATGCGGTATCGTGAAACTTTCAATTGAAACACTACACGTCAGTGACTGGGTGGCGAAATTTTCCACTTGTGGTGAATTAAATACTGAATTTTCTGTGTGTGAGGGACACATGAATAACTCTTTAATGACATTCACCTCGTTTTACTTCAATTGAAAATGGGGAAGCATATTGAAGATTTATCTGAAGAACTGTTATTAGAAATATTTTCCTATTTATCTTTGAATGATGTTGTATTTTCAATTCAATTTGTCAACATTAGATGGAGAAGAATATCTTATGATTATGAACTATGGAAGAACAGGACATATTGCCCCTTGGCTATTGAAAGTGATGAAGTAGTTGAAAAGACTCTCAAGATGATTCCTAAATTAAGTAATTTAGTTTTAGATAAAAGACCTTATTTGTCAGAAGTGCTTGAAACTTTGGTGAATAATTGTTTGGATATAAGGAGGTTAGAATTCAATAATTATCAAATGATTCCCACCAAATTATTAAAAAAACTAGTCAGACAATGTCCAAAAATTGAATTCTTACATCTCCCATGTAGAGTTTTAGATAGTTATGATCATTCCACTGCAATAGGTAAACTTGAAAGACTGAAGACTCTGAAAGTGGGAGGTTGGTCAGCATTAGAATGCCCTGCTAGGTTACGCCCATTAGCAGATGGTTGCCCTTCATTAGAACAAATTGAACTTGTTGAAATCTATTGTGGTATTGATGACTTACAATATTTGTTCCTAAAAAAAAGGGAATCTTTGCGCACAATTACTATTCGATGGTGTTATGATGAAGGCATATGTGTTTTACCATTACTATTAGTTTGTACTGCTTTAAAAACTCTCAATGTTGTATGTTTTTATGATATTGAAGCTGATGTTGGTTTCAGTGCCCTTAAAATGTTAAACAATATAACATCTTTAAGTCTCCTTGATTTTGATAATGCTAACATTAAAGATGTTATCAGCATATTTGATAACCAAAATATGGTAAATTTAATTGAATTGACAATAATCCATTATGAAAATTATGAAAACCAACTAGCCAAAGTCATTGTCAATAATTGCCCAAATCTCAAGAAGCTATTTATTAATGAATGTAATAGCATGAGTGATGAAAGTATAGAAGATTTTTACAAGCTTGAGAACTTGCAGTATGTAGAGTTGAGGAGCTCTGCAATAACAGACATAAGTGTTACTTGTTTAAATAAATGTAAGAAACTTATTCATTTAAGTTTAGAAAATTGTTTTCTTCTTTCAGAAGAAGGCATGCAAAATATAATTGATTTTCATAATTTACAAGTGTTGAAATTAGATTCTTGTGATTTGAAAGGATTATTCTGGTCCCAAATACCTTTAAAATTAAAAAGATTACGATATCTAAGTATTAATTTTTGTCAACATGTTGATGAGAATGAAGTAAAGCAATTAAAGAAAGAAATGCCACAGTTAACAGTTCATTTTGTTGCTGACAGATTTTTGGTATGAATTTGTAAAAATGACTTTATCAGTTCTTATTACATTAAAATTTGGTCCTTGACCATCACTTGAGTTCATGTGTTTGTATGTAATGCATGTCCCAATGTGAATAAATATTAAATGTTATTGCATTTTCAATCATTAATGTACTTCAGCGAAAACTACATCTGCTACCTATTTAATCTCTATCTTTTATTCATCCCTTTTTGCCCTTTCTTGTGTGCTTTCAAATGTACAAAACTTAACTTTAAAGATGGTAGGATTGGTAGAGAAATTGCATAAAGCGTTTTTTTTTGTCAAATAGTTAAAACTGATTTTTTCTCACATTAATTGACAGCAATTTATATTTATTATCAGCACACAGCTGATTAGTGATCATGAGCGCATCGCTGGCTCAGTGCATAAATATTGTCCATACACTCCGAGACATTTTTTAGAGACTTCTCCTTCATATCTACGTAGTAATCAAAGATTTTGTATACATACAAGGGATCACACTTTTTCCCAGAAAGCCAGCAATGTTGCTCCCGAAGTAACTGCACCATTACAAACTTCCAAACTTGATTTTCTCAAAACCACAAATAATGGACATTCAATGTGTTTTCACGAAGACATTGATATACAGAGAACACAAGTTAGCACTCCAGGAGATTTAATTTTATTTGCAGAAGCAGGATTACACTGGAGTAATTGGAATTTCAAGACCAGCACTGCAGTAAATGTATGAAAAATTGCATTTTTATTTTATAAAACAATGCAATTGCATTTCAAATTTTTTGGGTAAACCTTTTTGTCAATGCTCAAATCATTTTTAATTCAAATATTTTGACTATGAATGGGAAAATTGCAGGAACTAAATTTATAGTCAACATTTTTGTGGTATTATTTGAGGAAATCTGACTCAAATGAATTGCACAATGGAATTCTGAATCATTCATGATGAAAAGATCACCTTTCTCAAATAATTTTATGACAATCACCATTTCTGTCAAAAGTTCTTATAAAAATATATAAATAAACACTACCAATCTAAACACAACAAATCAATATCATCACAAGTTGTTGAAATGTCCCCAACTGAACGTAACTGTAATTACAAACTTGAGGGTCACAATAAAAATTGAGAGTAATAGGAAATAAATTACAGTGACATTTCAATTAATCAATCAGATATTATTATATTACATTAAAATAAATTGGATATAAATCCCAATTGAATGTAACAAATAATACTAAATCTATTAATAAAAATATATATTTCAAATTCAGCAAAAGAGAAACTTTTGTTGTAAGAAAATACTAAGTCATCTCAACATTACAACTACACCCTCAAGCACCTCCCTGAAAAACATGAGTTGAGCCATCAATTTGACAGAAGTTAGACACTCTCATGCCCCAAAATAACATTTTTTTAAATAAACCTCTTATCGATAATGTCAAATTTGTTCAATAAATTTATTGTTCTAGACAGTACCTCAGCCAATTTTCAAACAAATTCAATTGATGAAAAAAGTTCAAGTAATTCATAGCTAATTTTACCACCTGAAAAATAATTGTGGCAACTTTGAATTTCTCAACTTTTTTTATCAAGTGGACTTAAAAAATTAGTAATTAAATTCTCAATACTTTGATGGATCTATGATTTTAAAATGTGGATTGTAATAAAAAAATACTACAGAACTACGAAATACTACTACGTAATAAAAAATACTACGAAAAAACTACAGAAACAAGTTCATTAGTGACAAACTAAAACTTTTGGGAAAATGCCTTTTTGACTTCTTTGAAATTTTCATGCCTTTTTTGGTTGTGAATTTGAAGAGACAAAAAATTCCGAATTCTAAAATTTGTTATTAATCTTAAAAGCATTTGTAAATATAATTTAGGGCTGTAATAACAACTTGTTTGTAATTATTTTGGGACTAGAAATTAATTGTTTACTCAAATTTATTATTAACCCAAGAACTGGGAAATACTACCAGCAGCTGGCAGCCTACATGACACACAGAGAAGTCGATGGAACGGTAATGGGGTGAATGATTGTGGGGCCACAGTCAGAGGACAAGAGTACCCTAGGAAAAAGCAGTCACAAATTCACTTTATCGCCATATCCTCTACAACTTCCACTTGGATTGAACCCTCATCTCAATCTCAGAGATGGGGTGAACAGTAAGACTACTAAACAATGGGTCACACCATTGGACACTACTGACACTAAAACATGTACTTTTAATCTCAACCATTATAGCCATACGCATGAGTATGTAAGAGAAAAATTTGAAATGTGCCCATAGCATTATGTAATAAAAAATTTTATTTCTCTAAAATATCAAATCAATGTCAATGTCAAAAATTATGTGTAGAACCTATCGATACAATTAAGAAGTTAGTGACAATTTTACATTAGTCTATCTGTTTGATATAGTTATTTGTCTATCCACATTGTTGAAGTATTTCCCTTTCAATTATTTCAATTATTGCCCTATTGTCAAGGGATACAAAATTTAAAAAAATTAGCATTTACGTGTGTGTTAAATTAAACACTCGTGCTGTAGTCATTTACTTGTTGACTCATAATTGTTTTTCAAAAATTAGTATATTATCGAAAATAATTGTAAAATTGGAATATACATAATATTTTCTATTGTGTAAATTTTACTTATGGAGCAATTTCTTGAAAGAGTATCTGGATATTTGTTATGTATATAGAGTCAACGAGTTAATTTTAGTTCCTCCAAAAAATGGACTTGCTACACTAAGCATGTTTTGACAATATGTCATTTTATAAACTTTATATTCAATGAAATAAAAACTGTGGAGTGAAATGTAGAAAAAATTAACAAATGTTCCAAATATTATGAAAAAGTTGGAAATTGTACATTGTTTATCTCCTAAGTAATTTAATTCAAGACAAAAACATGAAACCTCTTTTTAATCTATCTTTTTAAGGTGTCCATCTTAAACATGACTCCACCCCCCCAAAATGCATCAAAACATTCCAAAACTGGGCAAAAATGAATCCAAGTCAAAATCAATCTCTCCTACAGCCGTTTAAAATGGACTAAAATTGTTGTACAAGTAAAATGTTAGACGCAAATTAAAATCTTTAATGAAAAAGAGAGGTCAGAAAAGTAGTTGCCCTCTCCCCCTCACCTGTTTCACGCAATGCCTGACTACGAAACTGTAATCCAAGCATTCAAATATTTGAATTTACCACACCCTCAACAATTTCTTAATACAAAATTCAAGAATCATACTTTCAACAATGAAAACAACTAACTTTGGAAAGTATGTGTTACACCAACAGTAATGAGACGAATGGAAATGTTTTATCCAAGCAACAAAAGAAACCTGTGGAATGAAAAATGTTCATTGAAATAACTCTTATGAACAGTCAACTCTTGTTTTCTGAAGTTTTGGCACTTGAAACTGTATGAGCAATATAGACAAGATGGAGTACAGTACAATAAATAAAATATAATAAATTAGAATATTGAAAATTTGAAAAACTCTTAATCTGAAAAATTATGAAATTGACACCAACGCCCACAAGAGGTCTTAATGGTTTCGCAAGGACAAATCATTATAAGTAGTCGTCAACAACAATAGACAAAAACAAGTCAGATAATCATTTAGTGAATATCGAGTTTCAAAATAAAAGAGACCACGAGTAAACAATTTACATAACACAAAAGTAGGTTTTTCACAAAATATTTATAAATAATACATCTAAAATGTTTTATATAAGTATACAATCATACTTTGTCCATTAATCTTAAAATAAAAAAACAAACCAACAACAACACCCTTTATGTTTTTAATAACAAATTTATCAGATTAAATCCTCAATATGCCAAGTAATAGATTGATCTTAATTGAAACAGATTAGTTTAAATTCACTTTTTCTTACAGATTTTCAACAATAAAGACAAAAAAAATCATTTTAATCACATCTTTGATGTTTGATTTATAACACACTATTGAACTAAGATCATGAACTGAACTTGAGTAAAAGAATTGCAATAACATACTAAAATGAGGTAAAACAATATGAATTCATTTATTCACAAAATACTTTTATACAGAGAATTCACAATTTTACACTAAGATTGCACAGAAGAATCATTTACAAACTATTCTGCAAATAAAAGGAAATTACTCCAAAAATAACATTGTTCTAGTGGGTACTTCAAATAAATTACAAAAAGACATTTCAATATCTACTCAATGTGTACAAAACGCCATAAAATTTTTTAATACTTCAGGATTATAACCTTGTAAAGTAGGTCTACCTTCATCATAAGCACACAACGAGAATAATTCTAAACGAGGCAATACCCAAAACATGTTCTTCATGCCTTCACTGCCATTCAAATCTAAAGTGTTCAACTGAAAAATAGAAAAGTCAAAGAGTCGGCCATCGGTCTGAATACATTGAATACTAACAGGGAAAGGCAACTCTTTCTCAACTTCTCCAAATAACTGTCGAGCTTGAGACACTGCAGCAGCAAAACCATGCAGGAGACATCTACCTACCAGCTGACCTTCAAGCACCTTAGTTTCATGCAAATTCTTAATTTGGGTTTCATTATGATGAATTATTATGGTATGTAAATGACTAAATTTACTGAATTTATTGACAGGAAATATATCCTTAGACTCATAAAAATGTGTTTTTTCACATGAAACTGTATGCTTCAGCGGATAGATATCAGGAAGATCAATTTTATATATATTTTCTTCTTCTTCTTGGGAAGAGAATTTCTCATGAGGTACAGAAGACAATAAAGCCATATTTAATGTTAAATCAAACTGAATCAAGTCTCCCTCTTTCTCAATAGGCACAAGACACCTTCCATTATTCACTGCAAATAATGCTGAACTTTTCTGGGACCATGAATTACACAGTTGAACAAGTTTTTCACACAAAAGATAGTTTCGCCGTTGATCTGATATTCCATAAACTCTAGGAAATTGCCATGCAGGTCTTGAAGGATCATGAAGCTTGGGTAATTTTACCTGCTGGGCATCAAATACATGTGATGCAAGAATAGATCTCTTAACTAATTCATGCATATCTGCTACATTTAATTGTTCAATTTTTTCTTCCAACATTTTAGGCAAACCATCTTTTACTTCTACAGCTTTTGCAATGATTTTAGCTTGATCCAATCCTCCAATCAACACAGTATTATTTTTGTGCATATAACATTGCCTAGCTTTATAGAGAGGATGGAGATTATTCATCACTGGAGGTGGTTCTACCCAATGTTTTAAATCTTTTGGTTCCTCCTCCTTCACTCTTTCCACAATTTTCATGTCCTTCACCACTTCATTTATATCTATCACTGGTAACCCCAAATGTTCAAGATTTTTCAATTCATCTGATTCTTGTAATACTTTTTTTCCATGAGCTTTCCAATTTTTCTTTGCCATTCTTCCCAAATGTTGTTTCCATAATGAATGTGTTAATCGCATGGTTCCTACAAAATAATACACATTATAAAAAAAAGCAATTTATATAAAAATGTAAATAATGAATTTAAACAGATTTATTTTTGCCAAAGAACAGTAAAAGTTGTATGTAACTTGTAGGGGAGAAGTACAATTTGCAGAAGTTTTCTTGAGCCTTAGAATCTCTTCCCCACCCTTTAACCTTAAATAGGCAAGTGATGAATAAAAGTACCAACAAAGCAAGGTTAGCAATACTTGGAAACTAGACATTTTTACTTCCAAGTAATAGAAAACTTATTTACATCGGTGGATGAACTACCCAATTGATTTTTTTGTATTGTTAACAAAATGGGAACTAGCACTACTCTTAACGCACCTACCAAAAGATGATCTCAACAAACAGTGGGCATAGTGAAGTTGCATTTATGTCCAGAGACAAGACAAAGGGCAGCATTTACTTAAAAGATCATGGAAATTTAACAAAACATGGGAGACGGGGGTTGTGGACCCAGAAGCTGAAATAATGTCTTGTTACATGCTTATTACGTGAAATAAAAATGTAAACTAATGTAAACTACACATCTTAATGATAAAATAAATATTATTCTCCTTTGTGATGGCCAAAATAGTCTACAACTGTGTAGAAACAGTAATGTAGCAGAAAATATTTCACTTTGTACTTGAACTTGTGGATCGATTTTAATTCTTTACTGTCATCTGGCAATTTGTTGCAAAAGTATTGTACATGTAATGTATGAATACCTAGTAGTCATTTTCAGACTTCTACTCCAAATAACAATATCAGTATCACTGGACTACAATAAAACTAATGTAACAACAATTCACTGTTTAATTACCCTTTATGTGTTACACTGACTATAAATATCTTTAATCAGAATCATCCAATAATGCTTTTTTACCCGTTTTATCAAAAGTGTAAACACCTTACCTCAAATTGGTACACTATCTTAACTGGTCAACTCTTGTAATTCTATTCTAATTTGGCAGTTTAACCAGAATATAACTGATATGCAAATAGATGATGGAGATATAAATTCACTTCACAGTTTCCACTAGCTTCTATTGGTTTCTGCCACAAACTTTCTGACGGTCTGCGAACCGTACCTAACCGTACGAACGAACACAAACGCGTGCTCGGAGTAGTGCAATGTGAGAAATGCACTGCGCAGCGCTGGCCTCGCACGCAGTGGCGCGCAGTCACATCTGAAGAATTTTATCCGAAGCGTATCACCGTCGAGGTTTCATCAATTATTTTCATTCAAATCGCGCACTCTATTTACGTCGCTTCCACAAAGTATGTCTGCCATTTTTGAGAAAATTTTGAAAATGTCCCGTGGGCTTCATGTAAAGTACCCCCAAAATTTAAAGAACGTCTTTCAAAACCTCAGAGCTTCGAGTGAAGACAGATCTACTGGGAAAAATTATTTTTCGAAAAAAATGCTAGGAATACTTTAGGAGCTATTGAATACTGAAAGAGAGAAAGAGAGAGAGAAAGAGAGAGAGAAAGAGAGAGAGAGAAAGAGAAAGAGAGAAAGAGAGAAAGAGAGAAAGAGAGAAAGAGAGAGAGAGAGAGAGAGAGAGAGAGAGAGAGAGAGAGAGAGAGAGAGAGAGAAATCTCTGCACCTTTGCCACGAATTTTATAAAATTTACTCCTCTGTTTATTGGAAACTGCTTTCTCGGAATCAAGGATGAGCCGGAACAAAGGATGTTTGTGAAGCAGAAGTAATTTCAACCATGTGCTTACTCTTGTTCACAGAGCTCGTGAGTAGTTCGATCGAAAACCAACAAATATTTTTCACAGCTAATTGTCATATCGCGTTTTTGTATAGGGGGGCGTTAGCTCACTTTACCCCCCCCCCTTCCAGGATCCATCCCTGGCTGAACGGTACTACTAATCACTTGAGTACCGACTACTCGAAAACATTGTAAGTAAAACAAACCCATTTTAAATTTCGAATACAACCCTTATGTGTGGTAAAAACTGGTGTGTAATTACGTCTGTATTGGTAGACTTTCTTTCAGTTGCTCCGAATCCATGTAAACATCTGATCGACGACGGTCTTTGCTTGGAAATTGCTTGGGTGGAGTAATTTTAAACAAAAAGGCGCGTTCGCATAAGAGATTGGGGGCGGGGGGGGGGGAGGTGGCCCTGTGAAAATTTTGCCAGGCCCCAAGTGTAAAGCGGAAAATTGATTTGGAGATTTCAGTGGAAATACACCTTTTGGGGTCCCCCTGATACCGAAAATGTTTTTTATCTTTCTTTCCTTTCTTCAAAACGTTCGCCTGTCTTTCTCTCTATCCGTCCCCCTGTGAACAACACTTGCGCCTAAATGAGATAATTGTAGTTTTTTTTTCAAAAATGAATTCTCCCTGGTCGATTTCGCCGGACCCGAAACTCTGCGATTTTGGAAAAAACGTTTAGTGCTGGGAGGTACTTTACACGATGCTCCTGGGACATTTTAAACGCTTTTTTTAAAATGGCTCGAATTTTTTTCTTTAAATGTCTTGTAAGATGAGAGTGAAAATCACTTATAACGATAACATAGATCCGATTTTCACGATTAACTCTGAATTTCCGGAAATTACAAAAGTTAACATTTTTCGGCGTCTTCCTCAACAATATTATAAGATAGATATATTTTCTTCAAATGAAATTTGTTCTCCACAAAAGTTCTTTCATGTATATTTAAAAAAAAAACCTTTTAGTAGTTGCTGAGCAATTTGGAATGAAATATGGTGAATAATAAAAGAAATATTAAAAACAAGATTTTCAGGAAAATGGCAAATTATTTCTTGAAACGTTTTGTAGAAAGAATGCTAAATGCAATGAATCAATGAGTTCAGTAACAGAATTTGTTTTCGGGTGTTTTGGTTTCGGTACTTCACTAGTTTTTTCGCCTACAGATGAATTAGAACTCGTACCAGAACTAGAATTCGTAATCGATGATGTGAAATTAGAAATATATTTGAAGTAGATGTTAATGAAATCGAAATTTAATTTGTGATCTGATCTCCAATTTTTGTTTCGTGGGCTAAAGATGCCTCGACATAATTCCCAGCAACGTCGTGACTTCCATCCGCCAAGTTTAACTGCGGTGATATCTCCACCAGCTTCTACCAATAGTTCTGGATTTGGCAAGGTTAAAAAAGAGGCAATTACACTTGGTGTAGTACCAATCTTGTTAATTCCCCCAACTCCTTGTTTTGTGCCCTTTCCAGCTCGATAATTTAAGAACAAGCGATTTCATTCGCAATCTTTTGGGTGAAGTTTGACATATAGTTTGCGTATGTTATAATACTCTCCAACAATAGTAAATGAACGTTCCACATCGGTCTTCGTTTTCATTTGCACAGAATAACCAAACTGATTTTATTTACTATTAGACGCAAATAAATCAGTTTACAGAAATATGTTGTTTTTATGTTAATATTAATGAAGCAGGTTTTTTTCCTACATTAAGGTACATTAAAAGTTTTAGTCGAAGTACCTGCTACCTTATTTTCATTTGATAATTTTTTCTAGATTGTTGTGCTTCCTTACCGATATTCAGTTGTTTCGTGTATAAATGAACGTTATTATATTTTTTCATTGACTTCTATTTCGAGTGACTACACCACAAACCTTATGTCTTACATACTGCTGAATTGAACGATATAAAAATTATTTATAATAGCGCGCACTCTCTCTCTCGCTCTCTCTCTCTCTCGCTCTCACTCTCACTCTCTCGCTCTCACTCTCTCGCTCTCACTCTCTCGCTCTCGCTCTCTCGTTCTCACTCTCTCGCTCTCACTCTCTCGCTCTCACTCTCTCGCTCTCACTCTCTCTCTTTCCTACATTAATCAGCTATATAAGGTTATACATTTTTGTAGTTGTTATCAATTTTATTATTTTGGCACACCCGTCTGTGGAACTGAGCAGTGTTAGTAGGGTTCCTTCAATTTTTAGATGTTTTCTTATATCATTTGTACCAGGGCATTCAAGAATAAGGTGGGAGGTGGAGACTGCTGCACCACACTTTGGACAGGGTTCTGGATCTGATCTCTTAAATAGGTGGCAGAAATTGAGATTGAAATGGTCTATCCTTAGACTAGTGTTACAACCTGTTCTCTTCTCTTAAAATGTTTACCGGGGAGAGTTGGTTCAACAATTTATTTTCTCACTAAGTGGAGTTTGGCGACATCCAATTTCCAGACAGAGCCCCAATAGCTGAGGCAGGAGTCCTTTACTAACTTTAAGTCTTGGAAGGTGCCTTGAATTTGGTTGTCGGCGCAAGTGATTAACGAGGCATGTTTAGCGGCTGCATCAGCTTTCTCATTGCCAAAGATTTTATTGTGCGAAGGCATCCATATTATTTCTATTTGGGTCCCATTTATAGCTTGCTTTTCTAGTATTTCTGGGATTTTTTGGATAATTGGATAGGAATTGAATCTATTCTCGATGGCCTTCACAGTTGATAGCGAGTCTGAAAAAAATTGCAATGGGGGTATCTTTTGGTGTTTTAGTGCTAATTATAATTGCTTGAAGAACTGCCCACTCTTCGCATATAGCAATGAAGTAATCTGGGAGACGGTGAGAGTCAATTTTATTAATTGGTGGTTGGAATATAGCACAGTCCTGCAACTCCATCACGTTTAGACCCGTCTGTGTAGACTTGGTAGAAGTTGTTATAGTCTTGGAGTAGTGTCGATGTTTTTTCTTGTGTCCTGTTAATAGGTTCAGTGAAATTTATTGATTTTTTTTGCGAGGTCGGTATTAGTTGTGATGTTTAAGTTCTACCAGGGTGGAATGGGATGATTGCGTCTGGGGATACAAAGTAGTTTGGTAATATTGAATTTTTCTAGATACTTAAGGGGTCTCTCACTAAGCGGTAATGAGAGCTGTGATCTGGAATCATATAGGCTAGGCTGGAGGTTGATAAATATAATTGAATTTGAGGAGTTGGGGGGAATGTTAAATGTGGAGTAGGCATAGGTTATGCACTGAACGTTTCTTCTTAATTCCA